ATTGTAATACACGTTTCTAAATGATGCCGAAGTAACAACATACTGATACCGGTTAGTAAAAACCATGAATTAATGCTTTGACAAGTCTGCAGATAGACGGCAGGCGAAAAACCTTTTTAAAATGCGTGTTTTCTGAATGGAGACCGGCTAAGCTAACGTTGTATATGCTCCGACCGTCCACACTCACAACAACGGCCTACAGACATAAATAAACCAGCGACTGTATTCTCCATGACACAGACAGTCTGTGGTTTGGACTTGTTTAACTTTTGTCTAGTTTCTGAACAGATATGAGGAGCTGTGAGCTCTGAGGGCTAACAGCTAACGGCTGATGTTGGTTTTGTGTTTCTCATTGAAGATGACGTCACGGCTCCGCCTACACTGCGTTACTATAGTTACTGCCCCAGTTCCTAAACTGTAATGGAAACGAAGCATAAAGTGAGCCTGGCCGTACTAAGCCGAGCGAGGCCCTGCAGTGGAAAGGGCCATAAATGTCTTGTTCCTTCGTAGATACACTCTGATCTGTAAGTAATGTACATGTGTAAATGATAAACTGAGGCATGATATCGTTAAGAAATGTCAGGTTGTTCATAATGCTTTGTAGTTCATCAAATGTGAACATTGTACTTTTCTGCACTAAAACAAAAAGGGAAGGAGTTGCGGTTATTTATAGGTTATTATTATTATTATGCTATGATTTTACTGCTCCGGCCCACTTGAGATTGAATGTGTCTGGATGTGGCCCCTGAACTAAAACCACCCCCTCCTCTAAAGCCATGTTCCTGTTCCTGTTACCTCAGCAGTGATGGAGCCGCACAGCTGGCTGATGAGTGTCAGTTGATGCTGCTCAGTGTTGCCTTGCATTATGGGACTTCTGGTCCACATCTCCGCCATGATGCATCCTGCTCCCCACAGGTCAATGGGGGGGCCGTAGTCTCTCTCACCTAACAGAAAAAATAGATAAATAAAAAAAGTTTATAAAAACGCCTTCTCCAGAAAGCGCTTTCACATACAAGTCAGCATTCAGTCATATTCATACACATTCCAACATACAGAGGCTGTGTTCAAGGTGCAGCTGCTCTGTGAAACTAACACTCACACACTGTTGGAGCTATTAGACGTTAAGTGTCTTCCCACAGGACACATCAACATGCTTGACCACCGACACTGCGACTGGTGGACAACTGCTCCACCGTTCTGTGCCATAGCCACCACTTACATGTAGATATTAAAGTGTCTCTACTTTAAAGAGTCCTCTCCTGCTGATGTTCAGGTGTATATCAGTATGTAGTGTCTCTACTTTAAAGAGTCCTCTCCTGCTGATGTTCAGGTGTATATCAGTATGTAGTGTCTCTACTGTGACACGTCTCGATGCTTTAATGTTCAAAGAGCTCTGTATTGTTCTCATACTGCCTGTGCTGCAGCACCTCTTTTCACCCTCTGTCTGAAACCAGAGACCTGAAGTAAACAAAGGAGTCCTATGGAGGCGTTTCAGGCACACTACAGGGAAGGGAAAACCCAACAAGCATAATAGGAATGCAAAGCATAACAAAATGGACTTTAAGGAAAAGCAGGCTCTACGAATAGCTGCAGCAGTGTTGCCAAGGCAATTCTGGAGCTATTGCAGAACCCAAACATTACTAAGGAGTGAATTGGTGAACGGGAGTGCCTGTGCATGTTTCTGTGTGTTGACTTGACTCGTGTTGTCTCACCCAGCAGCAGCTCTGGAGGTCTGTACCACAGGGTGACCACGCGGTTGGTGTAGCGGTTCCCCTGACTGTTCTTAGCCAGGCTGAAGGCTCGAGCCAGACCGAAGTCAGCCAGCTTCAGGACCCCGTCTCTGGTGATCAGCACGTTGGCTGCCTTCATGTCCCTGTGGAGGATCTGAGACAAGGAAAGGAAATGTTATGACCAAGACTACAAGACATGGTAACAGTGAGAATTATGATAATGCCCCCCCCCCTTCTACTCCAGTTGGACTCAGATGTCGCACTTTTTCTTGTTCATGTGATGTTTTAGTGTTGTTTTGTTTATTTCTGTTATATGTCAAGTGGGAACTAAGTATTTTTTTGTACGTTTTTGTGTTT